CACAGTCATTTTGAATGTTTACAGGCAGCAGCCATTTTGGACTTTAAAGTGACAGCATTCTCATTCGGATTCCAGGGACCTGGGAATAGGCTCTGTTTGCCAAGGACGATAGGGACATATATGGGAGGCTAACAATAGAAAAGTAAACAGGTAGGGAATGAATAAGTGCTACTAACTAGCAAATAGGGGAGCACTACACAGTACCCTGATTACATAGATAACATACAAACAAAACAAAGAAAATGAAAATCATGGGAAAGTAACTCCAACATACAATCACCAATTAAATATAAGCACAAAAACATCACAATGCCTCAGAGACAACAGAGCATCACAGTCCATACAAAGAAGCAAGATAAAGCAGGAGAAACAAGGGGCCAGGATACAGATCCAAAACATATCTCTGAAGAAGATGCAGCATTGGAACCCCTGATAAGGAATTCAAAAGAATTATATTTAGGTATCTTTAACAGATTGAGAGATAGATGAAGGAAAACACTGACAAAATTGAGGAAAACACAGAGAAAACCCTAGAACAATTTTGAAAGAAAATACAAGAACAAAATGACAAAGGAAAATTAGAAATGATACAAAACTTACAAACAAAAATTCAGAAGATTACTACTAAATTTTCAGAAATAGGTAACACATTGAAAGGGCAGAGGAGTAGAATTGAATCAGTGGAAGACAGAATTAGTGAGATAGAAGGCAAATACCTCAATACTTCTTTGGAAAGGGATCAATCAGAAAAAAAGATCAAAACAAAATGAAGAAAACCTAAGGATAGTGTGGGTTACCATGAAAAGGAATAACCTATGTATGATCGGAATTCCAGAACAGGAAGAGATAAATAAAACCAAAGAAAAAATTGTCAAAGATTTGTTGGAAGAGAATTTTCCTGGTATGATGAAAGATGAGAATATATGCATTCAAGAAGGCCAATGAACCCCAAACAGGATAGACCCCAAAAGAAAATCACCGGGGAGTTCCCACAAGATGGACGACTAGGAAGAACTACTGCATAGACCCTCTTCAACAAAGAAAAGGGAAACCAGTTGACACAGACACATAAGATAATATTGGCCCCCTGAGCCTTGAAGGATACAGAAGCAGACTAAACCCCAACTAGCAGAAGAATCTGCATGAAAATACCAAAAAAGGAGACATACGGAGCTGCAGTCTGGCAGGGACCTGAGCGCTCCTGATGGCACAAACAGCTTGGACATTCCCAAGTGGTGGTAGGACCTAA